TTATTTTTTGTTGAATTTTTTATATCTCCAATCAAAGCCGAACAGTTATAGTTCTGAAACCCTGCGGTTTCATTTCGGATCCAAGCCCTCCGGGTCCATGCTTACCCAACGGGTCAAACATTTTTTTTCCTAAAAAGATATATTTATATTAAATAAGAAAAAAACCGTCAACCTGCTGGTTTCAGACCGGCCTGGTGAAATTGAGTCTTTAATTAATGCTCTGATCAATATTATCTTTGTAGAACAAAAGTAAAACGACACGAACTTCACAGGAGAAAATAAATCACAAATGCATCACATTGTCACTACGGCACTAGACAATCCAAAAGTCTCAGCAGTTTTAAAAAACTAACATAATATACATCTCAAATTTACACAATTTCTCTGAGTTCCCACTAGAGTCGGAAGTTCCGAAAGCTCTTCGCAATTTTCAAGTACTAAAGTTTACAAAAATAAGGAAAACGAGATAAGAGAAAAGTTTAATAAAAAAAAAAGTGGAGAAAAACACAAACAAGCGCAAGCACCACCGTACAAAGAACTCGCACGATTAAGTAGAAGCATAAACTCTAGATGACGAGGCCTCACCAAGTGACACTGAGGCTAGAGATGATGCCCAAACTCGAGCATTTCTGGCTCCTCTGTGGAAGTTTCTCGTTTTACAAATCTTGAGCTTGCTCCAAATTCTCTTGACATCAATCAAATGGAGAATATGCCCCAAGAGCTGCTTTGACTCGCCAAAAATTTCCAAATTCAGATGAGGAATGTACGCTGTCCACAGTGCCAGTAGACGAGAAGCAATTTCTGGGTAGATATACAGAAAAGCCCTTAAAAAGATAAATACCACAGAAAGTACAAGATAGGGTTCCCTCAAGAATGTTTCCTCGAATGAGGCTCGATTCCAGAGTTGGGGCACGCTTTTACCACTTTCTGCACTTTTTGATGTATTTTCAACCATATCAACCAGTGGATCCATTCCTATGAAAACATGAACATTAAAGCATGAAGAAAAAGAACGTGAGAATATCGTTATAAAAATCTTCATTTATTTATTCCACAAAAACTTAAGTCAAGCGCTACTGAGCACTGAGTTAGCTGCATTAAAAGGTAATGCTTAAATTTTTAAAATAAAATATGTCGTGCTTCAGAAATAAAAGTAGACCTAGCATGATCTTGCGCGTAATCATCCATATTAAGGATAATTAAGTGGGTCTACTATAAAGTTTGTACTGAGAGAAAATCACTTATTTGATTTGAGTTCCATAGAAGGGGCAGAATATATATA